TTATATCGCTGAATGTACGATTACATGTATAGTGCATGCACACGCGTTTATATTAAATAATGCAAGCATACATACAGCTCTAATGTTAAATGTTAAAAAACATCGCTTACACGTATACATGCATCAGTTTAATCATAGTTAAGAGCGTCATATAAACATCAGGTAGAGTTGGAAGACTTCACATTTAACTGAGTGTTTATCGGCAGTGCGACAAACACGGCACGGATTCGGATCCGGTGCGCTGTGTGAAATGGTTATTATTTTAATAATATTATTTTTACAGCAGCATATAGCATTTTTGGGGGTTTAAATTGTATAGGTACTGTATAAAATTGTTTATTATTATTATTATTATTGATATATATACCGGGTGGGCCATAAGTAACGTAACCGACAAAAAATTGAATATCTCCATTATGACTCGAGCAAACGAGCTGATTTTTTTACCAATGATAGAGGCTTGTTCAAGCTTCATATCTATAAGGACAAGCCTAGAGAGACCCTTTGTTAAGTATCACTACTGGTATCAACACAAAAGTTTTACTTTTTCACAGGTAGGAAAAAAACAATATATTTAACAAAGGATCTCGCTGGGCATGTCTTTGTGGATATAAAGCTTAAACATGCATCTATCGTTGGTAAAAAAAATCAGCTCGTTTGCTCGAGTCATAATGGAGATATTCAATTTTTTGTCGATTACGTTACTTATAGCCCACCCCGTATATACATTTTGTATGTACAATTTATGTATTTATATATATGTAAATACATAAATTGTACATACAAAATATATATATATATATAATAATAAAACAAAAAAAATTTTATACAGTCTCTATACAATTTAAACTTCCAAAAATGCTATACGCTGCTGTAAAAATAGTATTATTAATTTCACAATTATTGCCCTTAAACACCAAAAATTATGGTTATGATTTAACATCGAAGATGATAGAGTAGCACAGCCATATCCTTTGTCGATTTCTTTCAATTAGTTCTTAACCTCTTTATCACGCTGCCACTTTTTGTTTTTCTTATTATCGAAAATGAATTGTTTTGAAAACACCAGGAATCGTGTCACGATAGGAGAGAAAGGTAATTGAGTACCATCGTTCTTTTGTCTTTTTATTTAGAACTAGAGAAGAGTGAAAAATAATGGTCGATTTTATCCCTAATTTACTAGGCTTGGACGATGCCGCTCAAAGAGTGTCGAACAGTATCGCAGAAGCCGTCAATACAACTCGACAAGCTGGCTTTGAAATGCTTCGTACTTTTAACGACATGTTGACCAGCAATCGAGAAAAGTTTGTTAATGACATCAAGCAGAGCATGTCGGAGTTTCTCTCTCAAGCAGACAGCAAAGCAAAAGGGAGTGCGAATGAAATCATCGCAAGTGCTGGTCAGACCTTATCAATCACTGCTGAATTGGTCCTCGAACGCGCTAAAAGTGCCACCACCACTATGCTCAATGAGATGCTGGAGAAGATTCGACGCGATATCGAGATGGCCATCGGCGACTTTTTCACCAACGAATTGGTCATAGCTATCAGTGCATTCCTTTGCATAATCTTACTGATGATGTTCGGTTATTTGTTTTTGCATATCCATGCCGCTTTTGACTGTTCCGTTCAAGGCGTTAAGGTTATTATGATGAAGATGATCTTGATTCTCGTTTATCCGCTTCTATGCGTATCCTATGGCTTGACTCTAGTGTGGTTTAGTAAAGAAGCTGTAAAAAAGAAGAATCCAATCCATATTATTGGGATTTTCATCATATTAGCACCTGTCCTCTATTTGTTCTGCTACCTCACTTATACTGGTTGGAATAAACTACAATCGGCAACTAAACAAGTATACACGACGAGCAGCAAGCGCTCGGTGGCTGACAAAGTGAAGCGTAAAACTTCGATGGAACCGGACAACATGAACACTGCCCCAATCGGCGCTATTTCACTGCCAGGTGATCCATAAAGCTAGATTTTTTACTCTTCGTCCGTAAAGAAGTCACTGTGTTGTCTATTCACTTTATTCTATGTTTTCTGTACTACACTTTTGATACTCAAGCCTCTTCTGTGTGAGCTTACCATATGCTTTTTCTAACACTAATGCGTTACAATACGCTACCCTCTAAAAAAAAGGTGCCATAATGGAACCGTTAAGAATTCTAAAGGAGAAGAAACATATTTAAAATTTGATAGTTTGTTATACTGAACCATCAAAAGTTCCAGTCGATATCAACAGTCATTTTAAAAACGGATCAATATTTTAAATGAAAGGCTCTAGCTTGAACCTTTTTGTGTAACACTATTATTAGTTAGTGTTGAAGTATACATATTTATTCGCAAGAATCTTTTCAAATAAGAGTGTGGGTGTAGCTGTGGGGTGTGAGTTCAAAGAATATCGACACCCAACAACGCCCACCCACATCCACATCCATCAATTTAATACACCGCATAAACGAGTATCTGGCATCCAGAAAATGTTACTCAAGAGAAAAGAATATTGTTATTCAAGATAAACTTCAATGAGTGGGTGAGCGGTGTGCGAGTGCCTGAATGCTTGTCGCTACATCCAGTCATGCATTCAACTTAACACCCAAAAGCACGCTCCGGTTGCTAAGGTCTTCAATGAAAGAGAGGGCGATAGAAGAAAACTCCGACTTAAAACTTACACTCCTTATATTCTTCGAAAATAAATGTGAATTCAACAAAATGATCTTTTTTTTGGAGTGAATGTTGTTATAGATTATTCAGAGAGTTCATAAAGAAACGGAAAAAATTATTTTTACTTTTTTAAACAAGTTTTATCTTTCTTATCCTAGTTCTTAAGAGTAAGTGTCTGAGAGATTCAGACATCGATGATGGAGTGACATCTCGGAATCGGATGATTTATTGATATGTTATAGAGGGTAATGAGTTTAGTAATTCCTAAAATTTTCACATCGATCTGATTATTTTTTTCCTTTTCAAACGGTCAAAATACTATTAGAATTTTCGATATGATTTTTTTATTATTTCTTAAACGCTTTTTTGGCTGACTTTCTTCAGTAGCACAGATTTTCTCCTTTCAATTTGTAAGACTTTTGATCTCTTGTTTTTCTAATTATATCTATTGAGCTATTGTCCTTCCACATACAAAAAAATCAGAAGTTTTCAGCAACCCCAGAAAAAATTCTGAAATATCATTGAAAAATCTCTTTTGCCCTTTTTATTATGTTATTTACCAAAATGTTGCTCAATCGCATTTTATGCGCCAACAACCGATCGTCGTGATATTTCTACTGGTGATAGAGCTCATCAAGTTCTACCACCCAGGATATTTCACGATTTCCCTCCATTAGAAAAATAAAGCACTTTTGATTAAGGTCATATTTTGCCTATCATTTATCAGATATATTTGAAGATGTTGGACTTTTCTCCATCAATTACAATCTCTAGACCGGTTGATAGTTTGGTGTTTACATATATTTTTTTTTGTTGTGGATGATATAAAGATATAAAATTACTAAACCAAACCTTCCACTGTATTAGTTTTGGCAAAATATAAAATGATATATTCGGAGAAGAGTTATATTGAAAATAGTATAATACCCAATATTACCTGGTTTTGATTTAGAAAAATCGACTTTTATCAAAAACAAACCTGATATTCGAAATCAGCATGAAAAACTCCACCAGAAAAGTATCTTTCATTGTGAAATATTTCCTACCAAAATTTCATCTGTAAAAAACCACAGGGTATAATTTTAGGGGCAAAGACTAAGAAGGAATATGGTGGAAGAAGCCCGCCGGATAGGGGTCCATATCTGCCACCCCGTGCAACAAAATTACATTCATGCTTCTCTAAAAGGCTGTATATTATTTAGAGTCCTACCAAAGTATGAAGTTCACTGCCTTAGCCCCATCTCATGAACTGTTCTTTATCCTTGCTCTGTCCTATCCTACCTCATGCTGGGAGACTCATATCATAGTACTACAATAGACTCTAAAAAAAATACGTTCTTTTACCAATCTGTGTCCAAGTAAGCGCTTTTTTTGATTTCATATGCAGTTGCTCAACTTAAAAAACCCTGACAATCAGTACATTGAAGCAAAAGACACACAGAAGTTTCGTACAGAACCAGAAATATTCTTTTCTTGAACACAAGTTCGGTAAAAGAACGTATTTTTTCCAGTGTATTGTAGTACTATGATATGAGTCTCCCAGCATGAGGTAGGATAGGACAGAGCAAGGATAAAAAACAGTTCATGAGGTGGGGCTAAGGTAGTGAACTTCATATTTTGGTAGGACTCTAAATAATATACAACCTTTTAGAGAAGCATGAATGTAATTTTGTTGCACGGGGTGGCAGATTTAAACCCTTATCCGACGGGGTCCATTTCAATATTTATTTAGATGAAAGCTTTTTCATTCGTATTTTCAAAAGTCATATGTCGAGATCAAAACTCTATCCAAGATATTAATACATTTATATATATACACTAATCTTTATTATGATCAGTAATTTACAATATTTAAATTTTGGTCCATCGTCTTCTCTTTATCACCGATTACCATTTGCCTTCTCACCTCCAATCATTTTCTCTTCAACTCTATTAGAATTATATATCATAATAGATTCATACGAAGATTGTCTTTATTTACTCGATGGTCGTTTCAATCAACTTCATACGTTCTATGTTACCATTTGTTCTCTGGTTCCTAGGTTTCCAATAATCAATAATGAAGTAAGTTACTCATATTAAAATCTTTTTTTTTTATTGGAATGAATTATGACACTTTTACGAATATTAATTATTTACTTTTTCGTTTTCTAGAAGAAACTACCGAATTTAAAATGCTTGTCACTTATCCATAATTCGATGATAATCGGCAACGATGAATTTCTTGTTCCACTTTTACACAGAATGTCAAATTTCAAAAAACTCGCTTTGTATTTTGTCTATCATAATGGACGAATTATTGATGGTGATGATTCAGTAAAGAATATTATCAATCATATGATACGATTAAACAAAATTACATTTAATATTCGCTCAATTATTCTTCGTGGTAATCAAATTATTTCATGTATTAATTATTTCCCGAAGACAAATGAATGTCACTGTTATATTTATTCATATTCATATACATTGACATATTACAATGATATAACAAATAATTTTCCTGGTGGATTATTTAAATGTGTTCGTAAAGTATCATTATATGATGAATGTCCCTTTGAATATGAATTTTTTCTACAAATTGCTCAATCATTTCCATTTATGAAAAAATTAACTGTACATAAACGGAAATCACAAAACAATGACAATCAACAATGGTCAATTATTGAATGTTTTCATCTTACTGAACTTGATCTTGTTCGAACGCATGAAAATTATATCGAAGAATTTATAATCAATAATAAAACGCATTTACTAAATAATGTTACACTTCATATCACTTATAAATCTTCACAAAGAATAACGCACAATTTTACAGGAGATGCAACACGGATTAATTGTTCCAAAATAGACTACATAGTTTTATATAGTAAACCAGAATTTTTTTTTTTTGAATATTTAAAAGACTATTTTCCTCATGCAGAAATAGTTTGGTTATTGCCAATTATGACTTGAATAAAATTTCAAAAAGAAAAGAACAGTTATTTTAGATTTTATAGAAAATTCAAAATGAGGATGTAGGTATTAGTGTTCTCTTCACATTTTTTCGTCTAATTTTATCGTTTACACTCCGATATTCAGAAAATGGATAAGAAAGTTTTTATATGAAATTACACTTTTAAATTTCACAAACGCTGTACCTGTGCTTAGAACTAATTCATCAGTTGATATTACTTGAATATAGATCGTGCCATAATCTACATTAAGTAAAAAGCACGTATCTCTTGTCTAACACTGATTTTTGAGATTACTAACATATTAAATACAACCTTAATCTATTTAATTCAATCATATATAAACATGAATCGACGTTAATACTATTAACCAAAGTGGAAAGGCAATAGTTAACATCAAGAAATCTGTTAGGACACCTACCAACAAACCTTGAAGAATTGGTAATGTTGGATTTCTATGGTTGTGTTGTCTTCTATTCCAATATTAAAAGTATAGCTTTTTATTTCATATGATTTTTTAACATTATTACCTTGCTTTTTGCTGATTTTTAAAATGACTTCGATTAATATTGATTGATCATATTTCATTAGAAGAAATCTTATTCTGATTGATTCTGCTAATTGTTGGTTGTTCTTGAGAAAAATAACAAATTCTGGAAATGACCAATTGCTTCATTGAGTATTTGGAAAGTTTAAGAAACTTATTGTCAACTTTATTTATATGAATCATTCAATATATGATGGAAGTTTCTGAAGTGCACACTCTTCTTTTTTTTTTCTTTTATGGTCTACGTATTTCTATTCTTTGAACGATGCACGATATTTGTAAAATGTCTTTTTCAATTTATTGAATTATATTAGCACAAAATGGCGTGATGAAAAACTACTACTAAAAAAAGTGCGTTTCACTCTTGATTTTGCAATTCATTTTGAATAGTTTCCATTTATAATCAAATGTTAACAACAGAACATATTTTTAATATTCAGAAAGAAACATTCTTATGCAAGTTAATGTATTCACGATCTTTTGTTTTTTTGAAATGCTCATAATTCATCTCAATTGTCATTCATTTCATATGTAAGACTAGACGAAAGTATTAGATCTGTATTATTTTTTTATTTTTTTAGTCAAAAAAATTAAGAAGAACATGTTTTATAAAGACTATCCAAATACGCAATAGCGATTTCATCTAGAATCGACACTTGCATCTTTCTACAACTAAAGTTAAGAGAATCTCCATCAACATGTTGAACACCATGTTCACATGGCTGTATCTTCAGTATACGTTTTGATGCTGTTGGACCATATGGTCGTAGAACTACAATTATTCCACCACAATGTTCTCGACCGGTACTAATCGAAGTATTTTCCATCACTATATGTTCCTCACGTATACAACCATTTGTTGAACATAATCGTGAAACTATTTTAAAAAAAAATATCCTTCAATATAGATATGAATAATTATGTCAATAAGATACTCACTTCGAACATTTCCTTCCAATAATGTTGATGGAAGTATAGGCAAGCGAGCACGAAGACAAATGTAATGAATAGGTATACGAAGTTTATTAATTGAATGTGATGTACAAAAATTCTTTGCAGATTCTTTTATAGATGACCAAGTAGTACAAGCAGGAGTAATATTAATAAATGAATCGTGTTTAGAAGAATGATTGAAATTATCTGATTTGATTAAACAAGACATAAAATCTTTTAAATATTTACCTTCAAAAATAAAAAGAAACAAGTAACAATAAATTGATCATATAATATTTCACTCACCATCATGTATTTTATTACTTGTAAAAGAAGAGATTTCATTTATAGTTATTTTCTCATTAACATGTTTTGGATTAATAAGAAATTCATATGTATTAGCATCCAGAATTTGAGTTTTTAATGCAATAGCTTCTTCCATAGTAATAGAATTAAGAAAATTTATAGTATTGATTATTCTTAAAGGTACATAAGTTAACAAAGGAAATTGTTTACGCATTCTACAAAATTTTCTCTAAAATTGATAAATATTCATTTAAAATTATTTTATAATATATTTTAACTTACTCTCAATGTAGAAACAGGACATCCTGTATGTTTTTCAATTGCAGCAAACTGATTATTAGTTGGATATCGAGTTTCGATGAAATAAGAATTAATATAAAAATGTCCTGCCTGAGTAAATCGCTTTGTTGTTTTATTATATAACATTTGTTCTGAAGGAGATGATTCCATAATCGAAGAATAATAAAATAGATGATATAATTCGAAATGATGAATATGTATTCGTCTGAACAGTGACAAATGTATTTATACATGTCGAATAATCAACTCGTTCTTTGTTGACTAATTGGTGAATATGAATAGACAAAATTGTGCTTTATCAGATTGATCATAGATGAAGTGTGCATTCAATATGTACTTTAATTTTCATTCTTTTTCATGTTTCTTTACAAAATATTATCAATTAAATATATCAAAACAAGACAAAAGAAGATAATGAAATTGAAAGAGAAACCAGATAGTTCGCATGCGGACATTTTCTCATTTGGAAATATGTTCGTCGAACTGACTTTAGGAGAATATTTTGAACTACGAATACATACTAACGTTAAAGGAATAAAAAGAATTGAGTATGTTCAAATGATCATTTTAATTCTATAGTATAATTAACGAAATTTTCTAATTAGTCGAAAAATAAAAACACACAATACACATAAACGCTTTATCATATCTACTAATAAATCTCTTTCTTAGTAAATCAATCATACCCGTTATTCTGTAGTAAAGCTCGAAGAAATAATGAAAACGTAGAATTCCACAGAGTGAATAAATATTCTCATGACTAATGAGATATTTTCCTGGAATGATAGTATATCGGTGTTTTACATTGTCGAGTAGTACGATCGTAACATGATCGATGTAACACGCCACATTGCTGTATTTACTGTCGTTAGAATCGTGCCTGTTTAACCTAGAGACTTTTTTTTTATATAAAAATTAAAATATCTTTTTCTCAAGTATTTGTTCAAGTGTTTAAAAAAAAACTGAATATGTTAAAAATAAAATATTCAATCGTTCAAAATGATAATAGAATATTAATCTTTAACAATAAAGACCAAGTTTTCCGTTAGTAACAAAAAAGAAGACAGCTTATTTGGAGTTCATACTTTTCCAAAAATATGTCAGATGCGTAGTTAATAGCGTAAAAATTCGATTATTAAATCTGTTTACAACATATAAATTTAGTTGACCATCCAATACAACTGCAGAAAGACTATATAACAAGTTGGAATCGTTGGCATGTACACTTGTGTTTCAACAGTCATTATGCCACTTAATTGACCAGTCAAGAACAACTGTATATCACCTAAAGTCCAACGAAGTATACTATACGGATAGCGATTAGTAATAATAAGACTATTTGATGAAGAATCAAAGTAAATACTCGAAGGAGTATGCAACTGTCTGTTATTCAGTCCTTTTCCATTACCACCAACAATTAAGTTTCCTGAAGATGCCTCAGAAATGTACACCATAATTCGTTGATTACCATAATCGGCTACATAAAGTGTGTTGAAGCTTGTATCACGTGTAATACCATATGTAGTACTCAATTGACTACTATTAAATTTCCAGGAGTATCTATAAAACGCTTTCATTTTTTTTTATATTAAAGTTCCAGTTATATTATATTTTTCCTATATATTATCAATGTTTGGAATTAATCCGGTATGATCTCCGCTCATTGCTTGATGACTACAGTAGTTGACAGAGACCGTTCTGCTTTAATGTTGCATTTCTGGCACCTTAAATAATTGTCGGACAATTTATATTTCATTTGAATTAGCGTTTCGTTATTCTCATTGCTTATTACTATATAAAAGTAAAGACCGTTGGATGTTTTATTGATGTAATTCAAACATCGGAATTTTTCTTTTGACAATTCAAACAGAATTAAAATCGGAATCTAAGTTCTGCATAGAGTTCCAATCATTAGAAATAATAGTCTCGAAATTCTAATCAACTTGCACTATGCCATATTCACTGCTAAACACATTCGTATAAAATTCATTTTTGATTGATAGTAGCGCTTAATATTGAATTGGTTATTCTAACAACAAAGAACAAAGATATATCGATCAGTTGATTAAATAATATAGTAAAACATTTAATTTTGTTTTATTTAAATAAATACGTAAAAAATAATGGCATTAACAATGAGAATAGGAGAACCAACTCCACGACGGTAAAATTATATTATTTTCTTAAAAATATAAATCTTTTCTCTTGCCGTTTTTATTTAGATCTTTAGCTGCACGACGTCGTACAACGAAACTTTTTACATTTGATGATAATAATAATAATAATAATAATGAAAATGAAAATTCTCTTAATGAAAGTCTTACAGGACGACGACAATCACGTTTATTTAATAATTCAATTAATATTGAAAATATTAATGATGAACCAATTCAAACACCAACACAATTAGTTGATTTATATCAAAAAACACTTGAATTAGCTACACAAGGAAAAATTAATATTAAAAATGCATTTGATATTCCACTTGTTGAACGTTTACCACAAGTTTTAAATGTTATTGCACTTGATGATAAAGATAATCATAATTTAGGACCAAATTTTGTTAAAGCTGGTTCTGTTATTGATACTAGGTTTGGGTTTTTTTTATTCATCGGCAAACGATTAACAAAGATTTTTAGTCAAGTATCCTTATAGAAATAAGCTTAGAGTTATGCTTTGATGATGGACGACGCATGGTCTCTGTACGGAATGCGCCAAAAATAGCACTAGAATAAAAACATGAAATATCTCCATGTCGCTTCAATCAAATAGGTTGATTTCTTGGTTAATCGTAGAAATTTATTTAAGGTTTTGTTTTTTTTTTCATACAAATAAGCTAAACAAATACTACTATTAAGTATTTTTATCTATTATTAAGTAAGAAAAAAAACATGTGTAGCATTTCATAGATAAATTTCAATTGTCATCTAAGGAAATAAAATCAAAATAAATTGATACACACAGAGCTAATTTTCAGAACTAACTTATTCTCTTAGATGACAATTGCAACTTATCTATAAAATGTTTCATTTGTATTTTTCTTCCTAGAAAAAAAACTTTAAATAAGCTGCTACTTCTAACCAATAAATTAGCTCATGCGAGCAAGCTGAAGGGGAAATATTTCAATTTTTAACGTAATGCTATTTATAGTTCATTCTTTACATTGATATTTTCTGATGTACCTTTAATTGTTTTGATATGCTATTCAATTCAGATTTGTATTCTTATTGATCTATAATGATACTTTTGAATAAAATGCCCATTGGTCTTTCTTTTGAATTATAATTTCGAAAATAATAACCGACCTAATCATATTACACTTCAGAAAAAGGAAATTCGTAGATTTTTATCATTAATTAAAAATTTTCTTCATGTTTTTAGTGCTAAAATCTATGGTTTTCGTGTTGATGCATTATATACGGAAACACAAAAATTAAATGGAAATATTTTAAATACAGAAGAAGAACAACAACATTTAAATAATGAAAATAATAAAGAAGAAAATCAATTAGAAGGTGATAATGAAAATATTGATTCTGAACAAAATGAATTAAAAAAATCAATACGTCGTATTAAAGTAAAAGCAACATCATTCGTTGTTAACGATATATCAAAAATAACACTTGAACATGAATTTGAATTTCGTCCATTACAACCACCAAATATGTGTCAATGGCGTGGTGGAATTGGAAAAGATTCTATATATGCTGAAATGGTTTCAAGTACAATGTATTCATCAAGTGATTATCCATTAATTGATGGTTTTACAAATGTAAATAGTCAACCAGATGAACAACAAATTAAAATTAATAATATACTTAATCATACAATAACAAAAATGATTGATTTAATATCATTACGTGATGTTATTAAAAATAATGAAACACATGATCATATACTTGGTTAAGAATATGTAATTTATATTTTTAAATTAAAATATTATTCATTTTCATTTAGGTAATCAAGCATTACGTGATTTTTCATTTAATGAAATTCCAAGTGATTCATTTATAAATACAATTCATGAAAGTTGTCTTACACAAATTGATGAAAGTATTGATAAATCTTATATAAATAATGATGAAATTGATAATAATGATGATGGTTATAATCATGATGAATTAATTCATGCTGCTATTGAAGATCTTAATGATGATCCATCACATACAAATGAAATTTTAAAAAATGCATTAAATGAATTAAGTAATCAAGATCCATCAAGTATACATTCAAATTTAGGAAATTATCAATCACAACAATCAGTAAATGTAAATAAAACAAAAAAAGAATATGTAACGTTAGATCATTTGAGATTTGTATCTTTTCGACAAAATTAAGAACAATCGATCAAATCGAATGTTCATCTGTTGATACTACTATAATCTAAAACTAGAAAGTTTAATGCATCTTGAAACATACTTAATATTAAGACGAATGTGAATTAAAACTGATGAGTAGAGCCCGTCGGGTCCAACATTTTTGGAATCGGACCTGGTTAACAGAAAAATTCCAGATCCTCCTATTGGTGATAAATCTCTTGGTTTCATATCTTCTAATCAAGTCAAACTAGTTTGAATACTGTTGATCATTACCAGCTAATCAATATTACAATACATGTGAATAGAAGAAGAAGTAGAAAAATACCCCTACTTTGTGATATTAGGTTCCATTCAAAAAGAGTTTCGCTAGTCCGGCATCTTTCCTACAAGTACTACTAACTGTAACTCTTCACTAAAGACCAGTGAGGAGCTGCGAGTCCACATTTTTGTGGATCCGGATCTGAACAAAGCTTAAAATTTGGGTCCAGGTCTGGAAGGACCCACAGCTTCCTAAAGACCAGCCTGCTGACCATGTCTGTAGAGAGGGCTCAAGCACCTTTTTTTTTTTAACGGAATCCGACCGTTGATAGATGAGAGAAAGGATGCAGAGTCTGTCGCTACAATGAAAAATTTTCCTTGCTATCAAAATAACAGAAAATCCGTATTCACTTTTTCATTCACACATTCGAACAAATATATTCTATTGTTAAATAACAGAACAGAAGTATTCTTTTATTCGAATGCCGAAATGGAAAAATTTTCTCAGCGTGCATTGGCACATACAGGTAGATTCTATACTTCTTCGGATATTGAGCCTCTCTCTGGTTACAT